CACAGCTGGAGAATTGCAGAAAATAGTTGAGTCTCAGGGTCAAAAAACCTTTAAAAAAATTTTTTTTTAAAATCAAACGGCACCTACACCACATGTTGTTTGGGAGGGTTTCAAGAAAAAAAAATCAAGAAAATGCTCTCATCCAAAAACAATCCCCAGCATATTCTGTTGTCAGACACAACTGGAACTTCAAATTGGACTGGCTTCTATGGTCAGATGTAACTAAAAAATGAGCTTTTTATCAACAAACACTCAAGGTGGGTTTGGTGAACACAGGGATAAAAAGTACCCTATGCGTACAATGAAATATACTGCTGTATTTTTTATGTTGTGGGCCTATATTTCTGCTGAAGGTCCTGGACATCTTGTTTAGACACATGGCATCATGGATTCTATCAAATACCAACAGATAAAAAATCTAAAAGTGACTGACTCTGTTAGAAATCTTATAATGGGCCATGTTTGGGTCTTCCAACCGGACAATAATCCAAAAACAAACCTTAAAAACAACGCAAAAATGGGTCACTGAGCACAAAACCAAGCTTCTGCTCTGGCCATTGCAGTCCCCTGACCTGAACCCTATAGAAGATGAGTGTGGTGAACTGAAGAGGAGAAGCACCAACATGGAGCTGGGAATCTGAAGAGATTCTGGATGAAGGAATGGCCTCTGATCTCTTGTCAGGTGCTCTCTAACTTCATCAGGCATTATAGGAGAAAACTCAGAGCTGTTATTATGCCAAATGGAGGTTTCAAAAAGCACTGAATAAAAAGGTGCCGTTAATTGTGTCCAATGTGTGAGAAAAACATGTCATAATGATATTTCCCCCCATTTTAAATTCTTATTCTCCAATGAAAGGTTAGATTTATGTGCATTTTTTAAATAAAAGATCAAAATGATTAACAATGCAGATTTATTTCCACAGTCTTTGATCATATTTACCAAGGGTGCCAATAATTCTGACCACGACTGTACATACCAAAGGTATGTCAAAATACCCATCTTGGCAAGTACCTTTGTAGCTTTAACAATGATTAACCTATATTTAATTTACACTGTGGCGTACAGATGCACCGGTCGACTGGCATTTTTTGTTTTATTTCAGACTATCTCCGTTCCGGATGCTGCACTGCAAGCATTTTCCAAAATGTAATTTGTGTGGAAGTATTACAAAGTGTGTAAACGGCTGTTAACAAGAGACGCTTAAAACTAACGCAAAGAGGAGAAAACACTGTAACAGACAGAGCAAGATCACTGTACATGATGTGCGAAATATTGGAAGAAAATCCTGAATATCAAATTGGGGGTTTATAGGAGTTTATCTCTGAGGGGAACGGTTTTCAGTAAAGTTAACATGGCGTTTTATTTTAATCTTGTCTCTGTATAATTTGAAGTAGGGCTGTGCGACTAATCGAAATCGAATCGAAATTGCGATTTGAGACATTGCGATTTCCTTATCGCAAAAGCCTGCGATGTGGACACGATATTACTCTGTTCCAGAGCATATGCATGACTGCCAGCCTTGAGTTGCAGTCTTACTAACCAATAGATTGAGCGCACCTCCGTTCTCCCCAATCAGCACTGCTCTAGCCAACTGCATAAACACCCACCATTAAAAAATAAAAACCCAGAGAGCGGGAGAGAGACAGAGTGGGATTATGGCATCTACTGGGTCAGATCGATAGTTAGGCAAATTAAAACTAAAGAAAACAGTATGCAAATTAAGCTTCAAAATGACAGGCAACGAACAAAAAAGGTAATCTGCAAGAGCTGCATCACAGCACATATCAAGAGCTCCCGTATCGGTTCTGTTTTCAGTACTGAAGAATAAAAGATACATTCTTAGATGTTTTTGTTAGTAAGTGAACGTTATTTTACACATTTTATCTCCCCAACAGATTAATTTGAAATAAGTTTATAATGCATGTTGGCTATTCCCAATTCAGAAGAGTGCACACACAGCCTGTGTCTGTGAATGCTTCTCATACTCGCTCCTCTCTGCCCCACGCGGCGCGAATCCCGTGTCATGGATGAGCCGTTCATGCTTGCCGCACTCATGCAGCCTGTCTCGTAATGCTCAGTTATACTCGCACCCAGCTCCACAAATCTCCACGAGCGCATCTGGCAGTATGGATGAGGCTTAACGCGCGCAACCTGTGTCGACTCGTGCCTGGCTCCGCGTTTAAAACAAGTGTAAAT